TCTGTCAAATACATGAATAAAATCTTTAAAAAAAAGTCATTTCTTAGAAAGCAAAGTTGATTGCTTTGTAAAAACTCTTAAAAGGCAAAAAAAAAAAAAAACCCACCTGCTTTAAGATGCTATCAGATAGCACAGGGGAGACTACTGTCGAGGACTGGGAGAAATTGAAAAGACTGATAAGAATGTTACACTCAGAATGCTTTGCGATATGGAATTCTCACTTCAAAACGAAGCATATGGATATGGTTTGCATGAGAAAAGCTACACAAAAATGCATTGGGTAGATTCATGCTCAAGAAGAAGAAGAAGGCTCCAGTCTTAGGTAAACATATCCATTCATTCTCTAGCACTGTGGTTCACAGGTATTTTTTTTAAAAGATGTATTTTCAGAGAGAGCGAGTGGGGGGAGGGGCAGGGGGAGAGAGAGAGAGAATCTCAAGCAGACTCCGTGCTGAGTGAGGAGCCTGACTCAGGGCTCGGTCCCACGACTCTGAGATCATGACCTGAGCGGAAACCAAAAGTCGGACGCTCAACTGACTGAGCCACCCAGGCGCCCTAGTTCACAGGTACTTTTACGATTTCCTCCTTTGATCAGCTTTTTCAGTAATCCAGCTTGTGTCCATAGGGCTAGTAATGCTTGACGGTGAGACCAACAGCTTAATTGTCCTCGGCCTTTTATGGTACCTGTTTGTCTAGCTAGTCCTTATTTGCATTTAGCCTGGCCCACCTGTGGCGTCCTTATGCAAACGTTGTGTATGTGTCTCTTCCTGATGAACCGTTCAGTCTGACATAGGTAACGCTTGCAAGAGCTTTTCTTGCTTCTATGATACTGTGTGAGTTTAATCCCGAGAGGCGTGCTCTCCGTTACTGTTGTATGCCTCCAAGGCCTACCTGGTGACAGTCAGCGTGTATCCCTTCACTTCCATGCTCGCCTCTGGCTTCTTGGGGACCTTTCCCGGTCGTTCATTGAAGATACGGATCTTCGGCTCACGCATGAACTGGCCTAGTGAGACAAAGTCCAGATGCTGATTTACACAGAACCCAAGGGTAAATAAAAAACCAGTCTCATCATCATTTGGCCCAAGCTGCATTTCTGTCCACCCCCTCCCCAGAATTTCTGGGGTAGAAAGACATATTGAGAGGAGAAGGGCAGAGCGATGGAAGGGATGGGTCCTTCCCAAGAGCAAAGCTGGGCTGCTCGAGCCACAGTCATCTCACATATGAGGCTGACCTACTGGACAAGAAGTGGATCGGAACGCCCGCCCTGATGACGGGATGAGCACCTGCCACATGGCTTAAATCGCAGGGACAAGGTTTGTGATGCCACATGCTTAAACTGGAACCATTCCTTAGAAAGTAGTAGGGAAAGTGGACCTAGATACCCTGCTTGTTATCACAGACTTCCAAAACCAGTTCACCTCTCTTCAGTTAGAAAAAAAACATCTTCCACATAAAATTGAAAGTGTATATCGCTTCTCTAACCTTTTGCCCAGTTTGTGAGGATGAAATCCTGGTTTGAGGAAAACCTCACCTGCAACGGCAAATGGTCTTGGCTAGAGCATCACCGAGTCCCCCTGCCCTGCTCTGTCGGGTTGCATGAATCATGTTTGTTATCTTCTGTATATTATGAGCTGACATCAAAAACCCTGACTGGCTGGGGAGAGACTGCCCCTCCCAGGGCCAGCCAGTTCTGAAAGACAGCGGAGGACTCAGGAGCATGCTATGATCTGCACGCAAACCATCCCAGGGCCAGACCTCCTCTACCTGGCCTGTGTGACCCGGAAGCATTCCAGGGCCAGGGGCCAGGTAACTAGAGACCACCCAAGAGCCCAAAGCCTGCCGAAATGATTCAAGCTAGCCAACCCAGAACTACCCTGCTCTGCTTTGTCTTCCCACAGAAACTCAGGAGAGGCTCTGGCCTAAACCTGTTGCTTCGGGTCCCTGACCAAAACCTGGCCTTCTTCCATGGCCCTGCATGGTGGGCCATGCCTCTTTGTTTCTAGGGGAACCTGAGTGACAATAAATGGTTCTGTCAATGGCATTGGCCCCGGTGTGTCCTCAGTCCCCTGTATAAATCAAGATCCAGGCACAGAGCATGGCCCCAACCTGTCCTTTGAGTCCAGACCCATCACTGTCCAAGTTCTAACCTCCAAAGTTGCTCAAGACCAAGACTCACTTGCCAGATGGGTGATAAACACCGTACCTATTAGTCCATGTGCCTTAGGTGAAAACTTGTTTGTGGGGGGAATGTAGATCCCCAAAAAGTCTACATTGATTGGATGCTTCTTCCAAACGCGATGGAGTAAAACAGAGAAGGATATGTCTTTATCCAGGGTGATAGTCACAGTTTGCTCCTTCTTCACAGAGACAAGCACCCTGGGGCAAAAGGCAAAATGGAGTCAATGTTTCTAGAACACACTGTTTTTAGAAAGTCATTCCTCCCACCGTGAACCTGAGCTCGCCATCCCGCCCTGGACAATCCCACGAGTATTCTAGGCCCTCTACAGCACTTTTCATTACAGAATGTTGTTTTTGCTCCTGGCTCCGGAATTCTGTCAGTTTATATGTTTGTATAAAAGCAATGAACAGGTAATCATGGGAAAATATGACTCATAAGACACAATCATAGTGTTTCCGGGCACACTCCGACATGGAGTTGGCTGGGGATTTTTGATGGATTCATTCACTTATCCGGCACGTCTTTATCGAGTCCTCACTACATGCCAGGCCGCAGGCTGGTGCTGAGACACACAGTGGCCAAAAGCCATGGACTCAGCTGCCGGGGGGGGGTGGGCAGGGGGCGGAGGGCGGAGTAGGCAACAGCAATCTCTCTGAACCTCGACTTCTTCACATTTAAAATGATGACTGTAAGTTCTGTGTTTCGATCATGGATTTCTGGATCGATTTGTGTAGTCATGTGGAGGACAGACCCGCATCCGGACATGACAGTACTCGCCTCTGATTAATGACATGAGCTGTGTCAGACCAGGAAAGGACAGACACCCGAGAGCCCCGACTCAGAGTGATGGTCTTGGTGCTGATCTCTATTTTCATGTCTTCGCTTTGTAAATAAAATCCCAGTGTTCCAAAATAGGTGCTGAGTTTTCCATTCTTGGGTTTCTTAGCACCAATGAGCTGCCCATTGACCAAAATCCCTGGAGGAGAAAACACGCTTTTTTCTCTCTGTGCACCATTTTTTGGCACATGTGGGCACCATTATCCAAATTTACAAAACTTGACAATATGGGAAAATTATTATTATTTTTTGCTTCAGGACTTACATAACATTTTTTTCCTAAGCAACTTTCACTTTGTTACTATGTCTTATTATACTTTAAATGATTTATATCACAGCAAGATCTGCTAGTTCATACAGTTTCTTAGCTATTCTAATTCCCTTAGGAATATATTTATAATTCATTTCTCACTAATTATCAGAGTTTGAAAAGTACAGGACTTCTTTTAAGGTGGGAAAGAAAGAAATCCCAAGTAGTGACAGTGAAACATGACAATGATCTAACCGCCTATTTCAAATATAGCATCTTTTTATTTTACCTGATTCTGGATCAGAAACAAGGTTGAAAATCTTTCCAGGTTCTGAGTCAATATTGAAACAAATATTCTTTTCATTTTTTGGTAGGTAAATGATGAAATGTGGGTCATTTTCAACTGGAAAATACACAGAGAAAATGAAATCAAACAAAATCATAGAAAGGAAGGTGACATTGAACAGTACTTTATTCCTGAACATCTTTAACTTAACAAGAACAAGTATTTATGGTGCTTCTACTAGATGCTAGGTTCTGTTCTAGGCGTTGGGGACCCAGTGGTGCAGACCCATTGTCCCTTCCCCATGGAGCTTCCGTCAGAGTTTTATTATTTTACAAATATAGTGTATACTTATTCTGAAACTATCACATATGATCTAGGCTAGAGATAAAAAAATGAATAAGAAAGACACAAAAGGGGCGCCTGGGTGGCTCAGTCGTTAAGCGTCTGCCTTCGGCTCAGGTCATGATCCCAGGGTCCTAGGATCGAGCCCCACATTGGGCTCCCTGCTCTGCGGGGAGCCTGCTTCTCCCTCTCCCACTCCCCCTGCTTGTGTCCCCCCCCCTTGCTCTCTCTCTCTCTCTGTCAAATAAATAAATAAAATATTAAAAAAAAAAGACACAAAGAATAAGAAAAGCACACATACGCATCATGTATACATATATATACTATATGTGTGTATATACATACCGTGAGTGTTGTATAGATAGAGAAAAAGATGTGTGTTTTTTTAAGTAGCTATACACAAAACATAAAAATAAAGGAGACATAATATTATTTGTTGGCATACAGATGGACATTAATCAATTCCAAGAGCAATGAAGCATCAAGCTTCTCTCAAGAAAGAACTCCTTTGCTACTAGACAACCTTATTCTGACTGATCTTTCTTGTTTGTTTGTTTGTTTAATCATTCAACAAATAGTTGGTGAGAAAAAAACCCAACTATGTCCAAAGCACTGAATTAGGCAATGTTTGGTATAGCTACAAATAAGTCATGGTCTTATTTACTTCAAGAAAGTCACAATTTAATGAAGGAGTGACCGAGATTCTCTCCTTGACCAAACTCCACTTAGGCTCCCCCGACCTTTTCAACAAGGCCTCAACTTTTGGACTTACATGTTTGTCTCTGCATTGTCCAATTTTAGCAAGAATCCTAGTAGGCTGGCTTAGCTAGAATCCCCACCTGCCATACTGAGCACCCTTGATATCTAACTGGGTTCCTCATCCCCCACCGCCCTCCAGGTGACATCTGGTCGCCTGGCTGCCTTCAGCAAGAATCCTGTTAGGTCGGTTTGGCCAGAATCCCCCTTAATCCTGATGTTTCCTCTGAGTGATTTTGCACCCACTGCCTCACCCTGTCCTTGTCTATAAACTTCAACTTTGCCATGCTGTATTTGGAGCTGAGTCCAATCTTCTCCACCCAACTGCAAGAGCCCATTGAGGGGGTCCCCATACCCATTGTAATGACCCCCCTTGAATAAGGTCTTCCTGACCTTGCGTGCTCTAACGAATATCAGGAATAATTTTTTTCCTTCACAGTTTTTCTTCATTGAGACAGACACACCCACTGAGGGAAGAGAGAATAAAATAAATGACACAAAAATAGCACAAGTGCAATGCTCTGAGGGTAAAGATGAAGGGTGACCAGCCCCGCCTGGCCAGTTGAGAAAGGCCTGGTGAAGGAGTTCACACAAAACCTTGAAGCTAGGAGAGGCAAAAGACACAGAAGAAACAGATTTTATTCTGAGTACACAGCATGGAGGCATAAAAGTGGGTGATTTGTTGGCAAAGTACCTCAATATAACTAGGGGATGGGTTCTTGAAGAATATAGAAAAAAACCAAAAATGGGGGTTGTGGAGATGGGTGGAGCACCACACCTAAGAATGAAGCTTTAAGTTGGGGAGCTATTTGTAGTTTTTGAGAAAAAAATGGGACATGATTTGACTTTAGGGAAATTACTTGTCACAGTATAAATTAAGTATTGGGAAGTGGACGTGGGAAGATCAGTTAGCAGCTAACGCAGCAGTAACCCAGGCAAGAGATGTTACATTGAATGGGAAACAGGACGGACGGGGGACAGAAGATTCCAGAGACCAGTGGTAGAATCCACAATGTCAGGTAACTGAGCGCAGAGGAACAATTCAGATCTGCCAGGCTTCCCGCCTGAGTCCCTCAAGGCCCCGGAGACAGGAAGGTCTGAGCTGTAAGAACCGTAGTGGTCATCTTTTCCAGATTAAAATGAAAGACCAGGCTTGCATTCATTGAGAGGCTATTGTCTTCTAGATGTTGTCACAAAGTCCCATGCAAACATTAACTCAACTAATTCTCTTCGTAACCTCGCAGAGGACAGGTCACCTGCCCGAGGTCACATTACAGAGTTAGTGCGTGGCAGAGCTATGAGCAAAGCCAAGCTGTCCAATGACAAGCCCATTCTCCCACCTGCTCTGATACGCTCGTTTACGTTCATGTGTGTGTTTTGGAACATGAAATGGAAGATAAGCGAATGCAGAACAGGAACACAATCTGGTACTTCTTTGCACCCCTTACATTACCAAACTCTCGTGGTGAGGTCAATAAATACTTGGTGAATTGATTTTGTGTTGAGCTGGGCACTAGAGGGCATCATTAAAACACAGAACAAAGGTTCTCATCTCTTTTTCAATTAAAAAAATTCATTTTGTGATGATAGCTTCTTCCTTTACACAAATAAGGTGTTTTGAAATATTTTTTGAAGGACATAGCTTTTATTAGAGATCATCATTGATTTTGCCATTTTAATTAACCCAAATCCCACTAATCAGACCTGCTGGTAGGTAACCACGAATCAACTACTGAACTGGTATCACTCTAGACAGCAGAAACGTCATATTTAGGTGAGTCTGTGTAGCCTTACATTTAGATCAGGTTGAAGGTAGATTGAGGGCTCCCATGACTAACTTCATAGATTCCTGAGGACCTGGTGTTTATGAGCTTCCACAAGGAACTAAGGTTATAACCACCCTGCAATTTATCACCATCTCCATTTTACTGGTGGGCTCACTGAGACCTAGAGAGCTCCCAGAGTCTGGCCCACTGTCACAGGGGCAGAGTCTGACCCCGGAACTGTCTGACTCTCAAGACCTTGTCCCTTTAACTGCATCATACAGCAGACTATGTACACTCAGAGGAAGCACCGCATTCTTACTGGAAAGAATATAAAAAATGAGGTTAGCTTTATCTCTACATGTTTCTACAGGAGCTTCGTCTTGTAAAGCCACAGTGTGAGGGGCTCACACACCTGTCCTTGCCCTTGTCTCTTGCTCTGAGAGCCACTCGGCACAGGAAAGATGGCAATTTTGCCAGCACTGTAACCTGACCTGTGGATGCCCTCCCCACGCGTGCAGTGTTGTAAAGTTAAATTACCACTGCTGGCCGGAAGCTCAGTGCAGAGCCCCTCATGAAGCTCTGTCCTCGGACGTGCCAGGTAGGACAGGGGAGGGACCTCCGGATAAAGCACTGCCGCAGATGAAAGAGCGAAAAAGCAAATCACTTTTGGCCCACAAAGAATACTTTTAGAGACAAGCCATAGGGGTGAGTTGCACTCGCTCTAAAAATTGAATTGAAGTCCTCACTATGTTTTCTCTGTGCCATTTTGGTGCTCTGTAAGTGGTGGGTGTACAGTCTTGAGAAATCAGTTCTGACAGTCAGAAATGTTCTTGCTAGAAGATTCTGTGTTCCAGGCAGCTTGGAAAAGCTGCAAACTTCTAGGAACATCAGGAGCTACTCTGCTATTGAAATTTCAGATAAAGGGCTGGTATCCAAGATCTAGAAAGAACTTCTCAAACTCAACACCCAAAAAACAAATAATCAAGTCAAAAAACAGGCAGAAGACATGAACAGACACTTCTCCAAAGACATACAAATGGCTACCAGACACATGAAAAAATGTTCAAAATCACTTGTCATCAGGGAAATCCAAATCAAAACCTCAATGAGATACCACCTCACACCAGTTAGAATGGCAAACATTAACAAGGCAGGAAACAACAAATGTTGGTGAGGATGTGGAGAAAGGAGAACCCTGTTGGTGGGAACACAAGCTGGTGCAGCCACTCTGGAAGACAGTATGGGGGTTCCTCAAAAATCTGAAAATAGAGCTACCCTATGACCCAGCAATTACACTACTGGGTATTTACCCCAAAGATACAGATGTAGTGAAAAGAAGGGGCACATGCACCCCAATGTTCATAGCAGAAATGTCCACAATAGCCAAACTATGGAAAGAGCCAAGATGCCCTTCAACAGATGAATGGATAAAGAAGATGGGGTCCATATATACAATGGAATATTACTCAGCCATCAGAAAGGGTGAATACCCACCATTTGCATTGACCTGGATGGAGCTGGAGGGGATTATGCTACGTGAAATAAGTCAAGCAGAGAACGTCAATTATCATATGGTTTCACTTATTTGTGGAACATAAGGAATAGCATGGAGGACATTGGGAGAAGGAAGGGAAAAATGAAGGGGGGGAAATCGGAGGGGGAGACGAACCATGAGAGACTATGGACTCCGGGAAACAAACTGAAGGTTTCAGAGGGAAAGGGGGTAGGGGGATGGGTTAGCCCGGTGATGGGTATTAAGGAGGGAACGTACTGCAAGGAGCACTGGGTGTTGTGTGCAAACGATGAATCATAGAACACTACATCAGGAACTAATGAAGTACTGTCTGGTGTCTGGCCCAAGCTGATTCATACATGAAACTCTCCTCTCTCGGTGGAGGTCAACCATGCCTGTAGAAGTCACCTGGTTTACCAGGACTTTTTAATTTTATTTATTTATTTATGTATTTATTTATTTATTTTACCAGGACGACTTTTAAATGTGTATAAATAAATGCTCCACGGGATTGCGATCCAGGAAGCCAGGATGTGAAAGCGGTGGTAAAGGTCTCTTACCTCTCATCACATGTGGGGGAGGAGTTGCCTCCAGCACTTGGGCTCCCAGTACGGGCATTGGGATCTTCGGTGTTGGGGAAGGGTTGACCCAAGATGGGACTGAACTCGGAACAACCTTGTTTCCATAATACAGGGCGCCTGTATAGAGAAACCCGTAGCCATTAGTTCCCATGGAGATTTCTTACAACTTCAAGTATCTGTGTTACGCAGACCCTAGAGGTTCTCGGCTATGGTTTTCTCCCATTACTTTTATTCCAGAACTTTCTCTGTTCCCGCTTTTCCTGTTTTTCCACTGTGGGGCCTGCTCGAGGGCTCTCTGCAGAGTCTGGGCCCCGGACTGTGGGCTCTGCCCCACAGAGGCTGGAGAAGGGCCCCGCGTCTTCAGCCCAGGCCCCGGAGATGATGTCCAGGCCAGCCTCTGGAGAAGTCCTGGATTACAGCTGCCTCGGCCTGGGTCCCTTCCTATTGCCTCACCAAACAACAATCTAAACAATTCAGTTTCTCAGCCAGCTCGTTTCCCCTGCTGGTTATAGCAAGTTCATTTTGCTTTCTGATATACAGGCAGCCTTCCTGTCTTAGAGAAAACAAATGGCAGTTCACCTAGGTGTCTTACCTAGCTGATACAAAATCACTTATAAATGCCAGTTTATCTAGGGCGAGTTTCTGCCCAGAGAAATTTAGCTGTGGGGCCCCAGGCTCTTGTAACTGGGATGTCAGAAGTAAGAGCTCCTTGAACCCTAGACTGCTGCGGTTACCTGGCATCTCACTCGGACAAAATGAAAAATGTGGAAAGTGATCCCTCCAGGGTGTGCAGGCCATTCTTAAGACTGTGTTTCAATAGGACTAGTTCCTAAGAAAGGGAGGGCAGGAAGAAGGTGATAAGCCAACGTCCTCTAAACTTGGCACACGTGCCCCTGAGCACAGCTTAGGACTTCTCCCCAGGACACAGAAATCATGGGTGGCTTTGTGGCAATTTCAAGGTTCTCAGCTTCCACGTGTACTTTTCCTAAGAAAACCCCTTTCTCCCAGTTGAGAAGTGGAAGGCATGCTCTCTCACTAAAAACCCCCCGGGGAAAATTGGTGTAGTGCCGAAAACTGGAATGACTCCAATCCGTTGCAAGGGACACAAATCCGTTTGCAAGTCAGTTTCCAGTTCTTTGCTTTAAACAGCGTTGAAGTAGGACCCGAGCTGCCACGCACTAGATCATTAAAAATAATTTTTGCATACTAGATCCTATGTGAGTTTGGCATATAACTTTGAAGAAGCTTAAGTGAGTGACAGTTGCTGTGACCAAATTCATTCCATTCCTACTTAACCTATGTCAACAAGATTTATCCGGACTTAGGCCTATAAAAACATTTTTTTAAAGATTTATTTATTTATTTATTTGAGAGAGAGAGAGCACATGAGGGGGGGAGGGTCAGAGGGAGAAGCAGACTCCCTGCCGAGCAGGGAGCCCGATGCGGAACTCGATCCCGGGACTCCAGGATCATGACCTGAGCCGAAGGCAGTCGCTTAACCAACTGAGCCACCCAGGCGCCCTAAAAACATTTTTTTTAAGATTTATTTTTAAGGAATCTCTACATCCAACTTGGGGCTCGAACTCACAACCCCAAGATCAAGAGTCACACACTCCACCGACTGAGCCAGCCAGGCGCCCCTAAAATTTTTTTAAAGAAGAAATGACACTGAATCTGATCTCTTTCAATCTATTAATAAATAACACTTACCCATAAGTACTCGAAAAAACAGCCACATTTTTTTCTCATTAAGAGATGATTTTCAATAAAATTTTACTTTGGGATATCAAATTTATAATCCATGTATATTATTTTGACCAATTGTCTACTTGTAGTAATTTTAATAAAACTCAATCTAGAAAAAAAATTTGAACACTCAGAATCTAATGGTCACAAGAAATTGAAAAAAATTTAAATTTGTAAACATTTTTCTTGCATAGGAGCAGGATGATCAGTAAAAGTCTTTCCCACATAGCAGTGTATTACACTGAGACATAATTCTGTCAGTAATGGAAATACCAGTTCAACTAGAAAAAAGAACCATGTAAAATTTCTAATAATAGAATTTGTTTATGTATTTTTTTTAATGGATGATGGAGAGTACCAAGTTAGGTATTCCATGTCGTTGGATACACTTAAAACAGTGATGTAACAGGTTTATTTTAAACATTCACTACTGGGGCACCTGGGTGGCTCAGTCAGTTAGGCGTCTGCCTCCGGCTCAGGTCAGGATCCCAGGGTCCTGGGATCGAGTCCCGCATCGGGCTCCCTGCTCAGTGGGAGCTTGCTTCTCTCTCTGCTTGCTGCTCCCTAAGCCTGTGCTTTCTCTCTCTCTCTCTGACAAATAAATAAATAAGAAATCTTAAAAAAAAATTCAATGTTTACAATACGCCCCAAATTAAATTCGCTGCACTATTTAAGTGTGATGAAAAATGGTTAAATGCTGATTTAAACAATGCGTGCCGGGGTACGTAGGTCTTCAAAATTCCTTTGGGAGCTAAGTGAGCAAAAGTTCTAAGACCATAACAATAAACTACCCCAAAGTAAATTGACAGGAAGAACTCGGACACACGGGGACCCAGGGCTGGGAGCAAGCGGTGGGCTACAGGGGGAGAGGAGCCGAGGTTGGAGGACCCCAGTGCAGGCTAAGAAAGCTGACCCGTCCTATTTGTCCAGCAGATGGAAGCACTGACCTGAGCAACAGGAATGATCTTGAGGGGGAGAGTCGGCCAGCATGCGCTCATCCCCGGCCTCGTTCTCAATCACCATCGCGGTGAGTGGGGTCACTATGTGATGTTCCAGAGACATCTGCAGGATAGTTTTTGTAATTTTCCTTTTGGCAGCAGCTGTAGGAGCCAGGCTTCTATATTTGGGAAACAGAGGCATTCGAGAACATTACTGTGCTTACGTCCCACACCCCACCACCTCTGGGCTCAGCCGGGACCCTGGGGACTCCAGATAAAAGAAGGCTAACTGGCTCCATGAAGCCAGGATTTTATTTAGCCATGCAGTCCTACAGGACTTTTTTTTTTAAAAAAAAATAGACTTTATTTTTCAGATCAGTTTTCGGTTCACAGTAAAATTGAGGAGAAAGGACAGATTTCCCAGATACTCCCTCTGCCCACACGCCACAGCCTCCCCCATTATCAACAACCCCCCACCGGAGTGGTGTATTTGTTACAACCTATGAACCTAAGCAGACATTTACTCATCACCAAAGTCCATGGTTTACATTAGGGTTTGTTCTTGGCGGTGCACATTCTGTGGGCTTTAACAACCGTGTGATGACATGTATTCACAATTGTACTATCGTACAGACACTTTCACTGCCCTAAAGATCCCCTGTGCTCCGCCCGGTCATCCTGCCCCTCAGCCCCTGGCAACCACTGATCTGTTTTCCAGGGATTGTTCCTGAAAAATCAGTATTGAACTTCAGCAAAGTGCTGTGTATCTGTAATTTTGCTGTGAATGCACCCAGCATGCTTCAGTAAAGGGGCAGGGATAGTCACAGAAAACTAATTGATGGTGACCATGATTTCTACCACAGGTGTGTGTGTGGGGGGTGTTCTGTGGGAAGGAGAACAAAGGACCCTTCAGAGAGGACAGAAGTGTTCTATAACGATCCGGGTGGTGATTCCATGGGTGACACATCTAAGGATTCATTAAACTGTACGCTTAAAATTCATGCACTTCACCCACTTTGTGTATGTTATACCTCGATAAAAAAGAAAATTGTGAACTCAGCTTTACTTAAAGTGCTTGGAACCAGTGGAAATTGACAATCCAAATCCCGAGTTAATTTGCCACTTTTCTTGGTTCCAAATCCTTCTTGTGTATTACTTTCAAAATATTCAAGGCAAACCTCTTACTTTTGCAAATCCCTGTTATGTATACTCTTCTCTTCTTACCGCTCAGCTAGAAGTTGGTTGATTGTCAGATAGGCCCACAATTTCCTGGTGAAATCAGGATCTGCATGCTTGTCTTTTGATAGAAAATCCTCCAAGTCGTCCATTTCGGCCAGAGTTTCTAAGACTAACTCCGTGTTAGCCTGGATGATGGAAGATTCAGTTGAAAGACATCGGGGGAGCAGAACTATAGTTAATCAATCCACATTTTTCCTACCTACTGTGAGTGAATCAGGGAGCTATGTAACTTCAAGGGAAGCGCAAAATAATTCAAAAGAATACAAAAGAGGAAGTAAGTGCACACATGCAAGGTTTGGAATTGACTTTGGGATCAGAAGGGAAGGATTTACAGAATGGTTTGGGGACCATGGCAGAGATATTCTCATGCCTTCCCTTCCACTTTATCACTTTTATTCCACATGCAAGATTCTTGGAATGAAAAATATTAACCTGTTAATATACAAGATGGACTGTATCGAGGGGACCAGTTAGTCTTTTGAGAAATAAGGAGATAAGTAGAAGTACCGAAGTGGCAGTGATGATGCTCTGTAACTGCTCCAATTTGTCAGGGTTATATTTTCCTGCCACCACAATCTCTGAGCCTCCAAAATAGTTGTGGAAACTGTTTTGAGTGACATCCGATACTGATAAGTGGGGATAGTTGAACTGAACATTCCGGAGCAATGGAGTAGAGACCTGGTTGTAGAATTTCTACAATTCATAAAAAACAGAGAAATCATTATTTTCATACTACTTCATCAGTCTAACACACTTTTTTAAAAGGGGGGAGGGGCAGAAGGAGAGAGAGAGCATCTTAAGCAGGACCCACGCCCAGCACGGAGCCCGACTCAGGGCTGGGTCTCACAACCCTGAGATCATGACCTGAGCTGAAATCAAGAGTCGGACGCTTAACCAACTGAGCTACCCAGGTGCCCCTAAAGTGCTTTTTGCTGAGATTCCTCAAATGGTTAGCTGGTATCTCTTAATTTATTTTCACAGGATCTCTGTGGAAAGCTATGAGACAGGGAGAATTCTCACAATTATCAGATGAACTGAGAAATGGAGAAACTAAAAAATTGTTAAGAATATTACCCTTGGGGGTGCCAGTCAGTTAAGCATCTGCCTTCGGCTCAGGTCGTGATTCCAGGGTCCTGGATGGAGCCCCGCGTCAGGCTCCCTGCTCAAGTACATTTACAGGCTATCGTTTGATCTGTGTTGCATTATAAAAAGCTGATACCAAGATGCCAATGCACTTTGAAGGGGAAACAATGGCTGCGATGTTAAGAAGGACCAGTTGTTTAGTGGGACTGGAGAGCCCAGAAGCTTTGATGATGCGTGGGAGGACTTGCTCAGGGAGTAGGGCGTGTGTGCCCATCCCCCTCCTGCCTTAAATCTCACTGTCAATGCAGAGCAGATACCCATGCAGGGTGGGGTGAGAAAGCAATCGAACACTTTCTGGTTGTCACGGCCGAACATAGCTGAAATGATGACAATTGTGACTTAAATTTGGCTAGTTGAATGACTTTGAGTGAAGGAGGAAGAAAGAACAGAAAAAAAGTGTTACTTTGAGCTGGGAGGATGTGTCCTGGTTTCCATAAATCCTTTGAGCAATTCCACGGTTTTCATTGGATAGTCTCTTCAAAAAATCGTAATCAACGTCAAATCCTATCCCCAAGCTGAACAAGGAGATATTGTCTCGGATGTTCTGCTTCACGTTTTTCTGAATTTTTGACAATTTCAGTTCACCTAAAGTTGATGACGACAGAGAGGAAGAGAATGAGGGGCAATGTTATAATGTTTTTGGAAAATCCACGGAGGGCAGTTTAGCAAAATTTGTTGAATTAAAAATGCACTTCCCCTTTTTAAAAAAAATTTTTTTATAAAGATTCTATTTATTTATTTGACAGAGAGAGACACAGCGAGAGAGGGAACACAAGCAGGGGGAGTGGGAGAGGAAGAAGCAGGCTTCCCGCGGAGCAGAGAGCCCAATGCAGGGCTCGATCCCAGGACCCCGGGATCATGACCTGAGCCTAAGGCAGACGCTTAACCGACTGAGCCACCCAGGCGCCCCTGCACTTCCCCTTTGACCCACAGACTCAACTTCTAGGGGTTTTTCTTAAGCTGCACTCACACAAATGGAAATGACGTATGGGCAATCATACATAGCAACATTATTGGGAGTAGCAACAGATTGAAAACAAATGCATAGCAGTAAGGGAGGTTGGTTAAATGATGATACATTCAAACTGTGGGATACTATGCAACTATGCAGTTATTAAAAAGAGCAACGTAACTGTATGTATTTATATTGAATGATCTCAAAGATACATTTTTAAGGGGGAAAACAGTGTAAAAATTGGTATATGTAGGATGTATTTGCATATAGGCATGTGTGTATGTATGAGTGTGTATATATATTCACATATAAGTGTGTATATATGTATATGGAGTATACACATATGCACAGAATATATCTGGAAAGATACACAAGAAATTGCTAACCAAAGATTGCCTCCGGGGACAGGAACTGGATGGTTAAGGGACAGAAATAAGAAGCAGACTTAATTTTCTGCTATGTTTCCTTTTCTTCTTTATGAGTTTATTCTCAAATTGAGTTTTTTATTTTTATTTTTTTCAAGATTTTATTTTTTTTTAAAGTAATCTCTACACCAGTGTGGGGCTCAAACTCACAACCCCGAGATCAAGAGTCACATGCTCTACCAAGTGAGCCAGGCAGGTGCCCCTGAAATGGAATTTAAAAAGTAAGCTGATCTGAGAGGTAGAATTCAATCTCTACCACTGAATCTACCACAAAACCATAATGACAAATGGTTGCTTTTCGTCTAAAACTCTAGTGGCCACTGTCATGATTGGTCCACTGGTCTTCCTTCCATCGAGCTGCGTCTGGCACAGGTCCTTATCTGCATGGCAGACTGCAACACAATCTAGCATGCACTTTTGTATTTGCCAGTAGAAAGACACAGATGAAGCAGATAAAAATAACAGCACATGATAGAAGCCAGGAGAAGTTGGGCCATTTTGTGGCGAAGAATGCATAATGTACAGGATATATCAGAAAGAAGTCATTTCTCCAGTTGCCGTGAGTGACTGGGGGAATGTGGAGAAGGATAGAATAGGATGGAGAAGGATGCAGACTCCAGAAGTGTTCTGGAGACTGGGGATGGACACACTCATCCCACCCATTCCCGTACACCACCTCATATACCTTAAGCTGAGGGAATAAATGTAATAGCCTATTATTACAATTCATACTCAAATTTCCCCACGTTGTGGAGGCCAAATGGGCGCTTTCAAGAGCATCACCAAGAAATGTCTGGGACTGGGTTTCAAGGGAATGAGTGCTCCAGGGTCAAAAGAAGTCTCCTGTTAGAAAGCATGGGGCTACAGTGGTTTAGAAACTTGCAAATGCCATCAGATTTCCCATTTGAAGCAAGAGTTAAATATTTGTCACTAGAAGATTGAAGTGCTACTTGCCTACTGTTGGGTCGCCGTCAGAAACCAAAATGATCAGAGAGACTGATTCAGGGTCCAGCATTCCCAAATTATTGGCTTCATTCAAAATAAAGATGGCGCGCAGAAGGGCTTCGTTGATATTTGTGCCTGTTAAAGTAACATTATGTGCTGTTCCGTTATGTACTCTCTCTTTGCACAAACACCATCACATCCTGGGTTCAGGTTCGTCCGTCTGGTGATTACTCATATGTCATTTTATTCAGTACCCAAATCCTTCGATTGTTTTCCAAGTGACACAAATTTCTCCCAGGCTGGCCAAGATTCCCCAGGGGAGTAAAATACTCACTTTGTAGTAAACTATTCCCTTAAAGATGAATTCATCCTTTCAAAGCACCCATCTGTCATTTTGTTAAACACCCAATAGAAGGTCCCTAAATCAGCCTTGCTGACATACTGGGACATTGGTCTGGGGACAGTTGCGTTTTATGCTGAGAGTAATAAGAAGGCTAGTGTCACTTGCTGATATCCTTTTCTGAGAAAGATTGGGATGGTCACAGACTTGTGTGAGATGGGTTATGCCTCGTACTTTCACAAGAAATTAGTATTCATCATGGAATAATGCATGCATTACTTAAGGCAGACCATTGCAAGCTGGGCAAAGACCACTGTGGTAGGGAGTGATACTTGCTAAGTGAATGAAGATTTGAACCCTATGAATGTTTCTCACTGGGCTCTAGGGTAAAGTCACTCACCTCCACTAGGCTGGATTTTCTCAATATACTTCTTGGCATCTGCAATCTGTGTTTTAGTAGCTGAGACTAAATCATTTCTCCAGGTTCTAACATTGTGGTTGAAGTCAACCACAGAGAATTGGTCTTCATCTCTTAGGTCATCCAATATGGTCTTCATTGCTTCCACTGTCTATTTCAAAAAAGAATGAAGAAGGGTCTCATTACATTAACTCTCAGCCCAAGAAGAAAGGAGGAAGACCAAGAATTCATCCTACCATCTTGCAAGTACCAACTCAAGCTGTCATTCATCCAGAAAACCTCTTGGTCATAAGCCAGCAGATCTGTGGTACTTTGTCAGAGCAGCCCCAGGTGACCAAGATGAGGCCTGGGGGGAAGGTGCATTGAATGTCTGCCATGTTGGGAGGGAATCAAAGAAAGCGGGGAGCCCTGAGCACCCTTACCAACAAGGAGGTACTTACTTGTTTCATTTTTATTCCCCACATTGAGCCGCTAACATCAATGACAAAGAGGATGTTTTTGGGAATTGGGTCCAGGTTTTCAGGAGCAAAAAAGTGGACAAAATATCCATTAAATACCTGGAAAACAGAACACAATGTTTAGCATGTAGGAAGGCAGGGCCCTAGGGACTAAGAGAGAAGAGGCAAGCCACAGGGAACAGGAGGAATGCTGGTCATAAAGGGGAGGCTCGGTGTCCATCCGTGTCTCTCCCTCCTTCCTGCTCTCCCCCACTCCTCTGCTGGGAAGGTCCAAGACTTCTGGGTAGTTTCATTCCCCAGGGCATTTCACTTTGCTCCCCTCCATCCACCCAGTCTTCATGGACAGCCTGCCTTCCAGGCACCCTGCTAGCCAACAGCCAATCGGGCAGAATCTCTGCCCTCACCGGGCTCACAGGCCAACCCAGGATCCAGACAAGTAAAGAGACAGTTGTAGCAGAGTATTACATGCTGTGACCAGGAAAATAAAGGACTCTGAGAACGCCCAGTGGACATGTATCTGACTCAGATGGGGGAGTCTTTCCCATGGAAATGGAATCTGCACTGGACTTGAGCATGAGTTTGGGACTTGGGCAGGCTTGGGGGGTGCAGGTAGGAGTGGGGAGGAGAGTTCCACACAAGGGTGAGAAAATATGGCACACTAGGGGCTCTGTAAGTGGTTCAGCACCCCGAGGGCTATTGAATTCAAGAATTCAAGGAATTAGAGTGGAGAGTCAGCAGGACAGATCATGAAGGACCTTTATCAGCACTCTAGAGAGTTTAGATTGTTCTCGAAGTTACTAGAAGTTCGCTCCAACTGAATTTGGGATCTCCGTCTTTGTCTTCTGCTCTAGGCTCTAATGCCTGGCTCCCCTAGTTCTCTTTCCACTGCCCTTGGTCGCTTCTACCAGGACAGTACAATGCCTAGCTGGAAATGTGTAGCTGTGGACACTTCTCTACCTCCCCGTCCTGGAGAGAAGCACAGACTTCCAGATACCCTCTAAGGGCTCTACCTTAGCACAAGGGAAATACAGACATACACCTAAGACACGACAAAGGGGGAAAAGAAATTGAAGAAATCTCACAGTGAACATTGGCCCTGGAAATCACCACTAGCCCAGATCGTTCTCTTGGTTGTTCCGTCCACCCATCCCCATAATCTCTCTGCTTTCTTTGATAGTTTAATTGCAAAGGGCCTTCGTAGGTTATCCAAAACTCCCATTTTGTGATTTTCCTATTGTACTTCATATAAGGCCTAGAAGTACCCTTCTGAGACAAGAACATGAAACTCAATGATGCTCTTTTTGGTTTTCTTGACATGAAAAGATGATGCTTAGTAACACTTAGGGAAATAGGATTCTATCCCTTCTCTGAAACTGGACGCTTGCCTTGGCAGCTAGGAGCCACCCAGAAGCCAGGGGGGCTTGTTCCAAAAGACACCTTTGTTTGGCCTCAGCATGGCAGTCCTCTTGGAGACTGGTTTTACTCACCTCGAGTTCTCCGGCTTTCTCTTCTCTGTTCACATCATACATCACCACCAGCTCTCCGTCTACTGCAGTCTCAGAGCAGTTGGAGCATTTTCTTTGCTGTACCACAGAGGGCTTGAAGGACACATGTGCCTGGAAAGAACAGTGACATCAGAGCCCAGTCTCTGCGCCTCTCCCTCCCAAGATGGGGGGCTGACAGCTTCCTGTGCACACAGGTGAAGAGTATTGCCTGTGGTTTGATGGCCAGCCCCGACCCAGGCAGCATCAGAAGTCGCATTCCCAATGTAAGGGACAGTGGCCGGGCATGTGACAGGGCATCTGCCAGCCTGTGGTGCTGCTGCCCAGGTTTTAGGACTTCTTAAGATACTCAAAGAATTCCTCCCTTCCCCCAACAGAGAGATGGCGACCAGCTCGAGAAAGTCTGTGAAAGGTTCTTAGAGGAGTTTGACTCCTCCACTGTTAGTTATTATTGGTCATGAAGCGAAGAGAATTAAGCTGAGCATCTCTTGCTGTGACTAATGAAAATCTACCACGTGATTTATGTGATTATGTGAAAGCTGTCTTTTAGCTACGGTCAAGCACATGACTTGAGGGAAATGGGGCCCCAAAAGGGACAGTCACTGGTCAAAATGTAATGAAACAATAGATTTTGCTCAGGGATCTCTGTTCCTTCACAAACTTCACTACCTGACCACTTTTCTGTTCCCCAGAGCACAGGAGGGGCAAAGAACCCATGAGCTAGTGGCCACTTAAAATAAGACTCTTTACAACAAGCAATACTTATGATACCTTCTGCTGTCCTTTAGATATGACAGTAACACCGTCAAAATGGCCATCAAATGTGTCAGGAACATGGAGAAATTTGATTCCCTGAGGTTCAATAACCCACACGTCTACCTAGAGTTGAGAAAGAAAATTACTCAAAGCATCAAGGTATCTTTTAAGGTTTTTTTTTTTTTTGAGCAAAAAGTACCATGAAAACATCCTCTGTTGTTTTTCTCATCTTCAGGCTTTCCCAGAAGTGACCCAGTGTGGGTCCATGATCACTTCTGCACGTTCCTTAACTGCCGTGGATCTGATTCACCTCGCCACAGGGGCTGAAGACCCTTTGGGCAACTCAGTGCTCCCCTCCTCTTGCTTCATTCCTCTGGGTTTCATTCCCCATCTCTATCCTAGTCTATTTTTATTGTTGTTGTTTATAAGAGTATTCATGTTGTCAAAGGAAACAAAGGAAGGAAAGCCATTGCGAAATGATTCTGCCCTTAGTCTGTGGATCTGTCAACGAAGGGCCAGGGCTCTTTCATTCCTTTTCTGTCTACGTGCTTGAACAGAGCGAAGCAGAAGGAACTCCCTTTGGATGATCCTTGGAAAAACCATAACCACGGCTTTCATTTCTCTCTATAGACTCTAAGTGCTCTGCTAAGCACTTCACATGTATGAACTCATTTAACTCTTACCGATATTCTTACTATCTATTTTATTTGTTATTGCTTATTTTATGGATGAAGAAACAGACTCAGAATTACCCAGCTTGGAAGTGGCCGAGCCAGGCTTCAAACCCAGGACCCAAGCTCCTAATACATTTTACACTGCTTCTTGACTTCCAATAGCTTGTGCTCCATCTTTTCAGTTGACTTGGACACACTATTCATTAGTCCCAGGCCACAATATCCTATTTGTTTTTCATGAGATTTCCCAGCTTTTGCATACACCCACTTAAATGTGAGGCCATCAGATGGAGCCCTATGCACATTGGTTTCCTTACTGCCTCTTACTCATTTAGGATCATTTATAACAGTGATGAGCTCGCTCTCTTTTGGAAGTCCCTGCCTTTGGAATCATGCCACATTTTTCTCTAATTTTTACTTTTTTAAAGTAGGCTCCATGTCCAGCATGGAGCCCAGCACAGGGCTTGAACTCACAACCCTGAGATCAAGTCCTGAGCTGAGATCAAGAGTCGGACGCTTAACTGACTGAGCCACCCAGGTGTCCTGATTTTTTTTAATCTTCTTTCAAAAAGTCATGGACACTTGTCTAAGCAGAGCCAACATTTTCTTTCTTGGTTATTACAAATTCCAGCATAAGATGTGAGTTTAATTTGCCTCCAAGATTCCCATTAGCTCCAGGTTCTCCATGTTGGTAAGAACTAAATCTACACAGAATCAGGTGGATCAGACATCCCAGGACAGTTTGACCCAGACATTTTGGGTAGTTGATTGAGCAGTTCCTGGAGGAAAGGGAGAAAAGTCAGGGAGTTGCAGAAAACTGGGTCCACTGCTTTCTCTCTTCCATAAGGTTCTACCTATAAATAAGTGTAGAGTACTCAGGACAAAGTTCAGTCTCTCCATAAGAGCATAAAAATGGCAGAGGGATCTTTTCCCGAGTGTCACAGAAGCTATTAGTAGTCCTGTGCTCAATTTGATGCAGACATGGCCCCCAAATCTAGTAGGAAACTGTGCTTTGGGGGTGTGTACCTAAGATCCCATCACTGGTTCATTGACAGGTTGGGACCAGTCCATGGTGGCCTTGAGTCACCCACCGTATTTATTGGCATTTCTGCAAGGAACCAGCTATGGGAGTTGGAATAAGATCTTTTTCCAAGATTTTATATATCCGGAAGGTAGGGGTGGGGGTTAAAAAGAGATGTGTTCTCTGTGATTCCTGTGAGGGAAACGTATTTCCAGTTAGGTGGCCCTTCTGATGGTGATTAGAAAGCTTTTCTGGAATAAACACAGGAGAAGGTCTAATTTTATGATTTTGCCTTAACTTATCTCTGGATAAGATCAAGCCTCTTTAGAAATGAATACATTTCATAGATGGTTACGGCTGGAAAGTACCTTAAGAATCACCTGGTCCAAACTTCTTTCACAGATGAGACACTAGTTAGGTTTCCGTAGTGTAGTGGTTATCACGTTCGCCTAACACAGATGAGACACTGAAGGCCAGGAAATGGGTTCGCCCAGAGCCCAGGGCTGTGAGTGTTAATTCTGGACCAGAATTCGGGAAACTTGCCACTTTGTCTAACACTCTTGTTAATAAATTAAGACTCCATCTGTCTTATTTTAAAGACAAGGAATTCCTAAGAGCATGGAAAATTTAAGGATGAACAAAAATTTCAGAAATATAAGAAAGATTTATGTGCTACATAGTATGTGTGTTAAGAATCATTATCTTCATGGACTCAAACTCAAATTCTTGGATTAATAGCATAGAACATAGTCTCAAATCTTAATTGTTTCTTAGCTGTTTCCTTAGGCAAGTTATTTATATATCTCTCTAAATCAGGGTTAATGAGATTTACTTTATAACTTGTGGGGAGGAATCAATGACATATAATGTAAGTATCTTATCCAAAATATTACAGAAGTATTCTCATAGCACTAACTCAGTTGCTATTAATATTATTAACAACCTGAGCATTTGCATCATTGTAGGCAAGATGCCAATCACATCTATTTACCATGGGATTCATAGAATTGAGCAAGAGAATGGCACACATTCATCATCACTCCTAGAAAAATAGCCAGGGTCACGTGTTGAGTTGTGCAGAGCCTCCAGCCAGGGCTTCAAGAGGGTGCTGAGATCCTGCCCATAACCCAATGGCCAAGTCATTTGCCCTGACATGGGGCTGCATTTGCCAGGACGAAGGGCATCTTTTCTTAATTTTCACCAAGGCCCCAGATGTGCCAGCAGGGACACTGAAAAGAACTCAGTGGCATATCCCCTGGGAGCAAGTTGATGCCACACTGTGGTCATGGGAAGAAGGTGGGTTCCATTGGTCAGATATGCACCTTTTCAAATTGGAATAAAAATTTCATCATGATCCATTTATCCCTTGGAGTCATCTCTGCCTGTGGACCCCACCTTCCTATCAGTCAAATGGAGAGACAGACTGGACCATATACTCTCCCGGGCTGCTTCTGGCTCTGCTCTGCCTTTGACACAAAATGTTCATGTGATGTCACAAAGATTCAAGCCCCCAAAGAGTGTCTCAGTTCTTAGGGCAACAGGTGAAGATGATAGTAAAGGTGAGTTCGTATCAGTAGGGCCACGGGGTCGCAAAGGAAGACAGCTAGCATTCACTGAGTTCCTATTATTTGCCACCTATTTCCATAAATTATATGGAAAATATGTTCTAGCACCCTTCCCTCAGATGAAAAAAGGGACCATCAGGAGAATGTGTCCCATGTCAGAGAAGGCTAGTGTAAGGGTTGAACGGCGCTCTCCCCCGCTACCCGTACCCCCGAAGACATGTCTACATGAAATCCCTGGAAACTGAATGATACCTCACTTGGAAAAAGTATCCTCATAGATGAAGTTAAAAGGTAAGGATCTTGAGATGAGATCATCATGTCAGTGGACCCTAAGTCCAGTGACGTTTTCATATAAGAAGAAGGCAGAGGGTGATTTGAGACACATGGAGGAGAACATGGTGTGACCACCAAGATCGAGATTGGAGTGCTGTAGCTATGAGACCACGGGTTAAGGAGTACCAGCAGTTGCCAGACACGAGGAGAAGCAAGGAGCAGATTCTCCCCCAAGCTTTCAGCAGTAAAGCCCTGCTAACACCTGGATTTCAGGCTTTGGTCTTCCAAAACTGTGAGAAGATGAATTTCTACTGTTTTAAGCCACCCAGTCTGTAATCGCTTGTGGCGGCAAGCCTAGGAAACTAACACAGCTAATACGGAGCCGAGCCCTCATTGAAATCCCTGAGGAGTCCTGGTGGACTCCAAATCCATCACCGTCTTGCTGACTTGCATGTATCCAATGCCACAAAGAGTGGTCACCCCGGAAAGTATAAATCGGGGCTAGGAGCCATCAGTGGATGGGGTCCCTGCATGTCCTGCAAATTCCAACTCACCTCCAAGTGTTTGGCCAGTCGTCCCGGCTGCAGATGGAGCCTGTGATCATAGGATCCCAGCTTCCTCCACTTTACTTCCTGGTAGTGAAGTTCAAACTGCACCTTTGCTCCAGGGAGGATGTTTACTTCGGTTTTGAAGTTTTCCATATCAAGAGCCCTGCTCCTAAAGGTTTAACACCCGCCCCGGGATGTAAGTCAGCACATGCATGATGGAGAGCAAGACCCCGCATCTATGCAGAGGGCACCTAGGTTTTTGTGGGCAATCAGGCTGCTCAGGTGTTTATGAAAACAGACAGGAGGTACAATCCAGATCACTGAAATTCCTGGGTAGCTTTAATTCTACCAACAGTTTAGTCTCCTCTCCTACCTGATCTTTTTCTTCCAGAGCTTCTTAGAGATCTGAGTGTTATCTGCAAGAAGCTACCAGTTACTGATCCCTATTCCACGCCGGGACCTTGACACGTATCATTTCTGACATGGCAGCTCTGCCGGATGGGTATCATCAACCTTGTTTTCCAGATGATAACAAATGAGGCTGATAGATTATTAGTAACCAGCTCAAGACCACTTGGCTACTCAGTTGTGGGGCAGGGGCTCAAACCCAAACTGATAATTCGTGCACTGGAGGCTTATTCTAGAGATTCTTTACATCCTTGAAAGTCTTCAGGAAGAAGAAATCTATGATTGCATCAAGTGGAATATGTATTCCCAACATAAGCCCTTATTTAAACACATATATATCAAGTTTACTGTGATCATTGCTTGAGGTGTTTAGTTTTAAAGAGGAAATGGCAGGATTATCAAATGAGGCTGATTTGGGCTTTGGGACTGAGTGGGAGCAGCTAGCGGATGAGACCACGATCTGCGCTGGCCCAGCCCTTACCTCACCAACCCCGCAGTCTTGCCTTTGGCTCTTGCCTGGGAGTAGAGAGCTCGACCCACAGTCTTCTCCTTAATGGAACTAGTGAATGTCGTGCCGTCTACAGTCCTAAAAAATGACAGGAGGCCCCCGAGTTGTTGAGTTTTCCCACACAGTAGTCTCAACAAAACAAACTAACAACAAATAACCCAACCAGTTGGATTTAGTGAATGTGGGCCATTATAATTTTGCACCTAGAAGAAATGAGAAGAGAGACATCTGCCTATCGCCTGGTCAGGAGTCCCTTTATCTGAGAGTGTGATTGAAGAGATAGGCACCCTGGGCGCCGGGGTGGCTCAGTCGTTAAGTGTCTGCCTTTGGCTCAGGTCATGATCCCAGGGTCCTGGGATCAAGCCCCGCATCAGGCTCCCTGCTTGGCGGGAAGCCTGTTTCTCCCTCTTCCACTCCCCTGCTTGTGTTCCTGCTCTTGCTCTCTCTCTCTGTCAAATAAATAAATAAAATCTTAAAAAAAAAAAAAAAAGAGGCACCCATCCTGAAAGCCTCCCCTTGGGTGCTGTTGCTTGTGTTTAAAATTGTTCCTCATTTTCAAGCTTTACCCTTCAGATAAGTGTTGTTCTCTTTGGGTAACCCTTTTGAATTACAAATATGCTGAGGAGAAGTGATTGATAAATCACTAGTTATCTGGCTTACATTTGTTTAGAAGATGACTCTAATAGCCTGGGGGCTCATACTCTCTGGCAAGAGCAGAAGAGAGTGAGGGAAGATGGAGGGAGGCATTGGGGAATCCCTTTGCAAATTTGTGTTTATCCCCCTAACATCTCCCTTAGGGATCTCTGACTTCCCTTTGCAACTCCATCTCAACACAGTGACTGTCATCTAATGCGTTCCAAGTAATGATTGGTCAGAGCCATCGAATTACAGAATTTCAGAAGTAAAATGGACTCCATGGCATTCAAATGGACAGGATCTCTCACCATGTGGAGAACGCTAGACATTTGGCAGCATAAGGGCCAATTTCTTGTCCCAAGTGCCAATGACATGCTTGGTGAGGCTCACTTGAAGGCCATCTCTTTAGATGAGAAGTCAGAGCCAGGAGACAGTGACTTGCTCAAGGTCACACAGTTGGTCAGAGACAGCTAGAACTAGACCCCACGTGTCCAGGTCTGCACTATTCCCATCAATCCATAGTCTGGTTCAAAGACCAAGAAGTCTTTAATACAAAACGAAATTATCTCTAATGGGAGAATATTTGGAACCTTGATTTTAAAAAGGCAGAAGAAATATTTTGCTAGAAGAAATATTTTGTGCAATTCATATGAAATTGCAGTGATCAAGTTGGCTACCTTCTCTGGTCTTCATAAATTCAGCCCTGAGTGGAGGGAGACCAAAGTAAATGTATATGTTGTAATTCTATCTTTTGTCACCTCAAATCTTCTATGACATGAGATGGAGAAGAAGAAAAGAATAAAGGAAAACAGAAAGAAGCAATATCTAGAAAAAATTCTGGTTATGTGGCTTCAAAATAAAAATTTATTACAACAGTTCTAAATGTAATTTTTCAGACACAGTGTCATCTAATGCCACTACATAAAAGCTCTTCTTTCTACATTTCCTTTTTTAGAACTAAAAATTTTTTGAAAAATAAATTTCTAAGCCAATTCAAAGGATACCAATTCAAAGTCACCTAATGCCTTTTCCCCACCTACTTTGTTTTGTTTAAAAAATATAGTTAACATGCTCTGTAATTTTTAGAAGTCAAAGTGCATAGTGTTTGAATGCTTTATCTATTCACAGTTATCTCTGGTTATCTTGGTGGTTGAAAGACCAAAGCCGATGAGAAGTAACTCAATCTAATGTCTTAGTAAAAAAAAAAAATAGCCAGATTGTATGCAGAGTCTTGTGCTCTGTTCTAGGCAACCGGGACAGGACACGGCCAGGCAGAGAACACTCTGGGGATGGCTGTGTAAATGGTCGGGGGTAGAAAGCCATCCAAATACTTGGAGGAACAGGGAATGTTTAGCCTTGATACATGAAGCCACCAGGTGGAAGAAGATAAGTGGCCTCACTTTTTAAAAAGCACTGGAGTGGCTGAAAAGTATTTTTAATTACAGAAATCTTCAAACAGACAAAAAATAGAATAATAGAAGATACCTCCATGAAACCATCCCTGAGCCACACCATTATCAGTACTCAGCCAGTCTCAGTTCACTGCTACCCCCACCCTCTCCATCTCGATTATTTTGAAGCCAATCTCAGAGAGCATATCATTTCATCCTCGAACACTTCAGTATGTATTTTGCAGAGAATTAGAAAAAAAATTTGTGAGTGGAACCAGAGTCACCGGGTAGAAACGGAACAGATTTCAATTAAGTATGAGAAATAATTCTAACAGACCTGTCAATCATTGAGTGGATTGCTCTGGGAAGTAGTGAGTTTATCATTAAGGAGATATTCAAGTCAAGCCTGGATAAGTCACTTGTCCTCGGTGTAATAGAGGAATTCAATCACTGGACAGATGATTGGATTTAATCAGTGGTTCTCATGTTTTTTCCCCATAGAGAAACATATGACAGGTGACATGGAACTGCTCTGCACTCATATATGGTTTCCTGTAAGCCATGGCAAATCCATAGATTTCTCCCCGCCCCCCACACCCCCTCCCCTGCAAGAAAACACATTAAAATGCAAGTAAGAGTTGTTACCAGGGAGATAGCTTGGTTGCTTTAATTTATTAGATATGAAAAGCAAATCCTTCACAAATCCTGATATTTTGAACAGAAACAAATTATGGGGACCCTTGACATCCAGTGGGTCCACAGATCTGAGAGTGAGAACCAGTGGAGCAGTTGACCATTAAGGTCTATTCTAACTATGAGAAGTTTGGATTCTATGAGTAGAGCATATCCAATTTCTAGTCTACATAGGAGTTACTCACATGGAAAAGTTGGAGATGAAGGCTCCTTTGGGAATCTGAACATCAAACACGACATTCTGAGGCTCTGGGGAGTTGTTCACCACTTTGGTCTGTATGACAGTGTTGGCCATACGAGAAGTAATAGTGGACTGGACTTTATAGCTATAAAGAGTTACTTGATCAGCCTCTTCCTGTAATTGGCAAGAAAGCATAGGGGTACTCAGAGCAAAATTACATAGAACTTCACCACGTATTTGATGGTAAGAGCACCACATTTTATTATGAACAATTCTCAGGCATTGGTAAGCATATAACTCAGGTAGTATTAAGCATTCTCCTAACTTGGAATCCCCCCACCAGGGAGAAGCCCGCCTTTGTTTTGAGATAGCTCGCGATGCCTTTCAGCTCTATGAGTCTATTCATAATGACGTTTAAAATGCGAATACAGAAAATCGTTGTGCGATGCAAGATTGGATTGAGAAAGTTCAAGAAATAACTTCAAAGGCAGGACCCTAGCAAGGGAAAGGATAAGGATGGCGGGGTTTTAGGAGACCCTGGCTGTATCTTCAGAGGGAGGTGCAAACAAGGGTAGAGTGGGGTGGAAGTACACTTGTGGTCCCCATATTGCTATTTGCCTTCTTCCATCTTTTTTTTTTTTTTTTTACGATTTTATTTATTTATTTGAGAGAGAGAATGAGAGAGACAGGGCACAAGCAGGGGGAGCCACCGAGGAAGAGGGAGAAGCAGACTCTCCCCTGAGCAGGGAGCATGATGCAGAGCTCCATCCCAGGAGCCTGGGATCATGACCTGAGCCAAAGGCAGATGCTGAACCAACTGAGCCAGCCAGGCGCCTTGCCTTCTTCCATCTTATCTGTTATGGTGCCATCTTCTCGTCCTTTTCTCCTTCCAATTAGAACAAAATATGACACACTGATGGGCGTGAGCAACAATTGGAATATGAAGAAAAAGTATCTTGTCGATGCCATGATTGGTCCAGCGCTCTGGACCTCCTTTGCTACTCCTTGTCTATTCATTTAAGGCAGCTCCGGTGTAACAAATTGCAGTCTACCACTGTGCTGAAAAGCTCATGTCTTTCAGGAGATGCCTGAGAACCGCAAGCTCCTTCAGGGTTAGGGCAATTAGGTGACCCATTAGGTTTTGCTTTCTTCTCCAAAAGGATTTGCTTATTTCGATACTAGGTGTCATCCCCAAAACTTTGTCAGGCAAGATTAAGCCTTTCAACTCCATAACAGCCAGCTCACCTCAAACTAAGACAGAAATCCAGGCTGAGTTACTTTTCCTTCTTACCCATTAAGTGTGTGCTTCTCACAGTTTCTGTCAGTTCAGAGCAGGAAGCCAATGGAAACCATTTCCTTTTGATGTTTTCTCGCCACAGGAAGGACTTTTGAACATCTCAGGAAATCAGACCATTTCATGTTTGGGAACTCCTTTCCCACACTGTCTTTTTCCTTCCTCCAAATCCGTTAGGTGTCATAGTTTAAATTAAAACGGCTAAATTGGAATGAATATGTATGCTTGGGTGAAACCTAGGTTTTTCGCAAAACTTAAGAGAATAGAGAGAAAGGACTTTTTCAGCTCCTGGTGACATCTCTCCTGGTGACATCTCACCTGGTGACATCTCTCCTACATATATCCTATACTCTTTCATGCTGAATTTTAGACATACTTCCAAACAGAATTAGGCAAGAGGGTATTTCGAAAGTCAGGTAAATGCTCTCAGGGCTAGAGACAAAGAGGAAACCGTATTGATCTCCTGATAATAGGTAACAGGAAAATCATTCGGTCATCAATTTTTAACAAAACCAAAGTAAACTCACCATCGTTTCTCCAGATTCTCCAGAAACGCTTCTCTGTGAAAGGAAGATAGATAATCATTCTTCCAAAAGTGTGTTACTTATTACCTAGAGGACAAAAACTGCTTTCTCTCAGTCAAAAAAAAAAATGTTTCCCCCCTTCAATACTGAGTCACAATTCATTCATTGGAGCAGACATAAATGTCAAATATTCTGGAATACTATTTCCCACTGGTGTTTTTCTTTGAACACATTTCTCAGCCACTTTGCAAACACACCATTCTTTGATATAATGCTAGAACATGTACTTTTAAATGAAAATATTCAACGGAACTCATGCTGAGTGGCCCATCTCCCCTTTATCCCATTTGAGTTATTTTCTTATTTAGCTGAATGGTAATCTGGATGCCCCAGGCTACCACGGGGCTCTGGACATGACATTTGCAAGATCTGTAGTGCTTTCATCCCCCAGCCCCCACTCATCCTTCAGATCTCAGCTGAGGGAGATTTTCTCAGTCAAGCTCTCTCATGCCCACCCCCAAACTAGGTAAGCTTCTCTTACTAAGTTTTCATGGCACCTAAGCTCTTCCTCCCAAGCAAGACGGTGGGAGTGCTGTCTGTTTTCTCCATTGGACTCAGCTACATGAGGCTCGGGATTTCAAGGCATTTCTTCTTTGGGGTGGCCCTGGAGCCAGGCATAGTGACTGGCGTGTGGAAAATCCTGCACTTTCACTGTTATGCTAGAGAATTATCCACATGAAGGACTGTCCTCTAGGCATGGAAAGCTGAATTGGGTTTAAAGCTGAACTGGGTTTAACGATGGGTGAACATCTAATGTCTGTGGGACTTTAACAGAATTAGTCAGGTATTGGATATAAGGCTAGCTAGCCTGATTTGGAGTGAACTGGGGTTTTAGGGAGTGTTATATGACCTTTTGAGGTCAACAGTTGACTTCTTTTCAACTTTTTGAATGCAATTCTCAATGATGAAGTTTTCTCTTTTGTGGCTAGATGACACGAGAACTTGCCCATTGGGTTTTTATATTATTGATCTACAAGAAACCTGGACTCCTAGGAAGTCCAAAATTCACACCCATACAAAATAAGTCATTGGTCAGCTTAGCGTTGCTTCCATAAACACCCCCTTTCTCAGCACGTGGGCTCCATGTGGGAGAAGCCACACCCTTCCTGGCCTCTTGGAGAACTCACCCCTATGAATTAGAGGATGCCTCCGCGCTATTGCGGGTGGCCTCCAGGATGCAGCCTGGGACCTGGCTGGTCCCTATGCTCTCTGAGCTTCTCCCCAAGGCAGCAGTGACCGCCCCGAGGAGGATGTGTTGCTCAGCGGGCGGCATCTGCTACCCCTGGGAGAGGCAATGGCCTCCTAAGAGGAAATCTTTCCTGATAAGGCAGTAAAATCATCCTACCATCTTAGAATTTGAAGAAAATGCATAGCCATCCATCCTTTAAGGAACTAAGGTGACCACTATGATAAAAAAGAAGCTCTGAGATAATCTAGCAAAAAGCACCTTAATCCTTCCCCTCCCTCATCAATCATGATCTCTTTCACTAATTTCCCCTTCGAGACTAAGGCTTACTGTACCTGATACCTCCGGTTCTCCGGCACAAACTGAAATTTGCCTGGGGCCAGTTCAACAAGATCTTCATATTCTGCAAACTTAAAAAAGAATTTAGGATATTTATTTCTATTAATTGAAAAGATCCAGAGCAAAGGAAGCAGATGGGGACAGGCATAAAGGCATTCATCCTGTTTTTCTATCTTGTTTCCTATACCTTTGGGAAATCACTTTTTTTTTTTTTAATACAATTACTTCTTTAATGTGTTTATATTTGCCAGCTATGTCTCAGAGGTGAATCCATGGAAGCTATTCTCTTCAAATTTGTTGGATGAAGGAATGCATTTTTTAGTTTGCTGGAAGATGATGGGGCATACAGGTCAGGGTCACATTAACCCAATGATCAGGTAGGTACCTGGGGAGCTATTGGGTAAACATTGGCATCAGCAAGTGTGTGAGTGGATAAATGTGCCCATACGTCTCCTCCAATTAAAAATGTTGGGAAAAAAATGTCAATAGGAAAGGAATACCAGTAAGAAGTGACTGAGCAAGCACAAACATGTTTGGATGTCTTGGCTTCGATCCCCAGCTCTGTTAATCAGATTTCCAACACACTTTGGCGGTTCTTAAGGTGTTGGAAAATAAGATCGTTTCTTAAGCAGACAGAGTGATTTTTTTTCTTTCCTGCAAATATGCAATCCTGGTCTTTGGCATTTCTGTGGGTAATCCACTCTGCAAGTATTACAAAGCTTCTGCATCTCCTAGGATATTCCCATAACACACATTCCTTTTGACTCAGTCCAAGACTTAACTTTCCTTATGTTGGGGATGGCCAAGGATCCAAAGTGGAAACCTTGAGCTCCCTGGAAATAATCCCTGCACTCTGCCAGCCCACTTGCCATCTCCCCCACTTAACAGCAATATTTAAACTGCCCTCGTGACAGGACTCATTGTTCACGTAGGTAGGAAAGACAATGGTGCTTTGATAATGACTTTTCTTACACTCTTAGTGCAAGAGTGATAATGATGTGTCATCCTCATCACAGCTAATAATTATTAAGTGCTTCCTAGTGCTTGCATTGTGCTCAGTAGTTTACATATGTCATTTAATTCCCCTAACCCCCTTTGGGTTAGATCAATTATCCCCATTGTTTAGATAAGGAGTAGGCAGCTGTGTTCCATAAATGTTGCTCTGTGGGGCCGGTCCACTGAATTTGACTGAACTCTCATGCAAATCCCATTAACGCTTTAAGAGGTAAATACACGTTCCAGTAATTAGAACAGTGAACACTCCTGCTCACAAGAATTTTATCATAAATTTCCTTTCGCCACAGAGCACAGTCCTTGAATAGCAATAGCCACAGGCTATTTACTGAGCCTGTGTATAGGCCCACAGCAAGGACTTTTCTGGGAGTACTTACTTCTGGAAGTCCATTGGTGGGGATTTCGAAGCCTTGTGTTTCAGAAACAAAGACGCAGATGAGAAAGCACGTGAGTCGATTCATTTTTGCGGGCTGGCTTTGCCAAGCTCTCCGTGCAGGGTCCCGGGAGAATGCCACTCCTCGCTGAACCCAGTTCAAAGGAACAGCAGAAGAGTTCGTGTTTTAAAAGAAGAAAAAAAAAGAAGAAGAAAGCTCTCAAACTTTGTTCAAAAACAGGACAAATATTTGTTCTGGAGTTCAAACTTGAGCTGTGGGGGTGGATTGGACACCCAGAGGTTATTCAAACAGCAGAGCCCGAGGTAGTCACTGGGCTGTGAGGACAAATCAGGGTCAGGAGGACGTGCTTTCTTTGGCTTTGCTGATTTCTGTTCATCTCAGAATCAGAGACCTAAGATCAGCCTCATCCTCTTTGAAGGACCAGGTGGGAAACTAGACGGGGAAATAGAGTCTGAGAGAAAAGGGCGAAAGTGTAAAGCTTCTGGAAATGAAATCCCTTTGTTTAAATGAAAGCAGGAGAAGTTTAGCAAAAGTGGAAAAAGAAACACAATGGTGTACTGAGCAAAGCATTCACTGCTAGTGTTTTTCCCTCTCTCTTTGCGAACTAAGTACCTAGTGCAGTAAAGAACTGGGCATGCAGCTGGGCCGGATACAAAGACACGCTGAAGAGTGTGGGGCCGTTTCACGAATGTCTTTGACTAAGAGAGCAGTGTCTGTCCCTGCTGCTGCCCCTGATCAGCCTCGCTCAGGTCAGTGGAGGATCGATCTCCTCCGTTCCAGAATCAGAGAAAACCCAGCCTGGAAGCCCTGCGTAGTATGCGTCCCATGTGTGGTCTGGATGTAATAATAATGTTAACTAAGATGTATTGAGCCTCCTGGTGTCAAGTACCTTCACTTGTATTATCTTTAACTCTTTTATTTTTTTTAAAAAGATTTTATTTATTTATTTGACAGAGAGAGACACAGCAAGAGAGGGAACAC